GAGTAAATCTTAAATTCTGTTTTTTCTGTGGTAAATTCACTATATCATGTGAAACTCTGCGTGCTCTGCCAGAGATTAATTTTCTACCGTTTAGTCTCAACTGCTACTGGGATTTTTTTAAAACTTTTTAATAGCTTTGAAAAATGAATCTATAAACCTACATATTTAATTTAAAATGCAGAAATGAGAAACGCAGAATCTGGAGATCCTTAATAACTCCATGGCTCTTCATTTGCACCCTCGTTCCCTGTTGGATGTGATCCTCAGTTTTTATTCACCCTGAGAGGGTTCTGCGGTCTTTTCAATTCCAGATTCCACAGATGTCTGGTCTCAAGAGACCTTTCCTTTGTTTTAGGTCTATGTGGAATGAGGAGGTAGTAAAGGTTTGGCACGTTTTGTGGCTAAATTATTAATCCTAATTGATGTGGTTCATTCTTTTAATTTGATGAGGGAACAATTTGCATAAATGAAAAGTGTCCTGTGAGAGTCATCATGAGTTTAAAAGCTTATTCTATATAGCTGCAAATTCAGATTATTTTAGGAAATAAACTTTTAAAATTATCATCTTATATTGATCTGGGGGTTAGTTTAGCTGACATGATGCTGGCTATCCCTTGATTTTTGTGTCAAGGTATTATTCTTAATTAAGGCTGTTTCTTAATATTTGGTTTGATGTTGCATTGGTTTACTGTAGAGACAGATTGAAGAATGCATTTCTTCTTAAACACTGACTAAAACATTTCTCCAATGCAAAATTAGTTGTGGGTCATGCTTTTAAAAATGCCAGTTTGATGCTTCATTATTCTATACATACAGGATTTGTATATCTAAACAAGATAAAGCAAAAATCTTTTCAGCATGACACCCAATTTATTTTGTAGAAATAAATGAAATTAAGCACTGTGACTGCTTATGGATAAAGTGATTGCTGAAAATGGATGGAATTTTTACTAGGTGGAGATTTTTTTTCGAGAATGCTTGATAGAGATTTTATTCTTCCTGCCCTTTTCTGTTTTGAAAATTGCTCTGATCTTTTCTGACTTCAAAGCAAAGTAAGTTCTCAGGAATTCTACTAGGAGAGAGAGAGAGCTGTCTAGGTGTCAGGCAAGAGCAATCATCCTCAATATCCCAAATCCTTGAAATATCATTTAGGAAAATCCATTGAGAAATTGGTTTTTACTGGTCTTGTGGCAAAACTGCAAAGCACACCTCTAAGATAAATTTTTAATATAAGAATCTTATTATATTCGTGAAGACATCTACCATTTTCCTTGATGTGGAACTGAAATGCAGAGGCAGCTGAGGGCTTTCGACTTCTGGAAGATCAGCCTGTCTTCTCTTTCCTTTCTGATCCTCATCCACTGCTTTGTAGAGCTGCCTTTTGTTCTGAATTTGTCCACAGGGGTCTGAAGTGCATCCTGCAGAGCATTGACTGTTCCTGCCACCTCCCTCACAGGATACCCTTGTAAACATTTATTTCTTTGGAACCGAGTTGCTGCTGCATGTGCTTGTTTCATGTAATTCTCACCCCCAAAATGTGTCTGCAGCCCTCTGTCCGAGTAGGAAAAAGCCTACTTGTAACAGAGAGGAACGGTTTATGTGCGACCAAGATAAAACAGTTGGCAGTTACGTGTTCTTTTGAAGTGCATGGTTGAACTTTTGCAGCAGCGGTTTCAGTATGGTGTATAGGTGTCCTTGTCTGTATAAAGATCCTGTCATTTTTTCCTCCTCCTTTGTGTTTCTTACTCACTTGCGCACACACACACACAAGAACGGTTTCCTTCTCTTGCCTCTGTTACCCTGGAAACCAGCCCTCACTGCAGAAAATGTACAGAAAGAGGACAGGTCTACACTATACTTGGCTCATGCTGCGGCACCCCTTGCTACATTATTGGTGTAACTCAAAGACAGCTGGAGTTTGAAATGCATGTCAGTGGCTCATTTTAATAAACAAGATTCCAGCGCCCCAGTCCCAGGTTTGTGTTAGTTCTTCACCTGAAACACTCTGGCCTTCCATTGTCAAGTCTTCAGTGTTGGACAGCTGTCCTTGAACCCAGACATTCACAACAAAGAAGAAAAGTTTACTTATTTCTCTGTTGTCTTGTAATCATTGAAGAAATGAAGTCTGACGTTTTGTATAGATCGCTGTACTACTCCTGTCAAATCGAAAGAAAATAGGTCATTTTCTATAAAAGCTGTTTTAGCTTTGATACGACAAGGTGCTGCCATCTAGTGTTCTAAGGTCAAAGTGTAGTTGCATAAGTTTAAAGCAGGGGAGTCCAATGCAAGAGCTCTCGAGGTTGTTATTATAAGTCTCTCTCTCTAAAACTCCAGCTTCTTAAGAACATGGAAATGTTTAATCTTGTCCAATGCAACAAATATTGAGATCACCCAGGCATATGAAGTCTCAGGTGGACCCAGAAACCTTCTGGCCCTGCAGAACTGGAGTTACATCCATTTGGACTTAAGGGCTGTCTATGAAACGGAAGTCTTCCTCAGTCTCAAGCTCAAAAGCTCCATAGCGAAATGTAGCCAAGTTCATGACGTTAAATATGCATCTCTATGGCGCACTAGAGCAGAGGAGGGTTGTTGTTTGACTTTAGGCTGAGCTGGTGTCATTTGAAAAGGATACTATTAATCTAATTCCACAAATCTAGCCTCTTTAGTGCTAATGTTCAGGACTGTTCCTGATTTTGGCCAATTTGCACTTTCATCTTCAGAATTGAGCATAAAGCACTTTACAAGCTCATCTATGGTCTATGCATGTGCACTGAGAAAGAGCTATTCAACTTGCCTTCTAATACAGAGGGTTTGCTTCAACGTCTCGATTGAATTATCACGATCAATATATATAAGATCACTTTATTGACCATATACAATTTCTTGTATTAGAAATGTCTTTTCGCATACCCCAGCTTGCTCACCATGAGACACACAGAGGGGAAGAGAAGCTTGGGGTCAGAGCACAGGGTCAGCCACTTATAAGGCTCCCCTGCAGCAGCTGGGGTTCAGGGCCTTGCTCATGGGCCCAACAGAGTAGGATTCCTCTGCCAGCCGCAGGATACGAACCAGCAACCTTTTAACGACCGGCACAGATCCTTAGCCACAGAGTCACCACAACCACCCTTAATACAGCAGTTAAGGCGCTGGTTCTGTTGAAATACTAGAGCAGGCTAGAAGGCCTGTAAAACCAGTCCAGGAGTCCTTAATTACCTAATCAAACTTATTATTTGCTTAATTGGGTAAGTTGAAGCCTTTCTAACAGGTTGAAAACTTCAGAAGAGGAGACCACTGAAACCTGCTGGACTGGGGCCCGTGACAGTCAGAGTTGAGCTCCTCTCCTTTAGGCCAGTTGTTTATTCATCTGTTACCAACCAGTCATTTCCGATGTGTTTTCTGGCATGTGTGAGGTGCTGTTAGCTTGAACAGAATGAGGGTTCCACATGGGTAACACTCTGCCAGTTGGCCTAACCAGGGCTTAGGATTTCCCTTATGGAGGAGACTTCTGTAGGCTTGACAGATCGGAAATGTGCCTTCTCATCAGCACTGTGTGTAGCACTGCAGAGACATCTTCATCCGAGTTGGAATTGGAGGTAATCTTTATTTTGGACAATAAAACTTAGGTCTAAGACCATTAGATTTCACATGTAGAAAAATGACAAGCATTCAACATTTTGGTAAGTAAAAACTTTTATTTTTGCTAAAAAACACTGTCCCTCAATAACACTGTATATTTAAATACAAGAATTTCTATATGAACGCTATATGTATGGTTCAAGGTGATCCTTGGATTGCTTATTCAAGTGGTCCTTCACAACAGAATGCGAGTTTTGAAACTGCTGGGCACCTAGTACCGAAATATACATCATGCTTGACGTAAACACTGTACTATTAGTACAATACAGCTCCCTTTCAGTTTTGTTTGCTGATAAACGATTACTAAATACAAAAGGGAAACAGAAGGCACTTGTAAGTTTTTTTTTTTTTAAGGCAGCATGTGTTAAGTGTGGGATTTATTGGTATTAGGCTCACGGTACAAGCTTCATTCTCATATTTGCATAGTTTATAAGGCAGAAAAAAAACATCCTTACCAGATGCACGGCCCCCTGCCTGCGCTAGTGGAAGGAAGGTCTCTTAACTGATGTTTCACAAGGAGAATTTGCAACGCTCTGTACCACTTACAATTCGTATTAATAACTGTAGCAAATGTCTCTAACATCCTGTTCTCTGCAGTCAGCTAGCAGCAGTGACATGATGCTGATAAACACTGAGATTCAAACCACAGAGGACAGGAGTGCAAGGAGTCCATATTTTTGGCCAGATGAAACGCTATACGCGTCTCACCCTTCTTACAGGGGCTTTGCTGCAGCTATGTAATGCTATGCTGCCCGGGCACAGACCCAGGTCTAGAGAAGAACAGGGCGTTTTCTCCAAGGCAGAAGGGCATAGCAACCCTGTGCATGTCAGCTTATGTGTTTAAAACCTTCCCTGGACAAGCTCTACCCTCCTCAATGAAGGTAACCAACACTAATCATTTCATGGATGGTGGATCAGTTCCCATCGGGGCCATGGTCCCTTTCTAAAGCCAGGAGTGAGCAAGTCTTGCTGCACAGGGTTGGGGGCTGGTCCACTCACTTTAACAAAGGCTGAGGGTCACGTTCAGGGTGTCAAGGGGAAACTTAACCTAGACACTTCATACTGGAACTCTGCTCTTTAAATACCCATGGCTCAAACCACGGCAGTACAGCCTTTTACATACAGAGCTGAAAAGGGGAGGAGGTATGAACAGAAATTGACTCTCACACAGAGAACAAGTCATGGAGGTGTAGCAAAAAGCAAAACAGCAACTCCCTTTTTTCTAGAGCAGGAAAAGGAACAAAGGAGGACATTAAAACAACAAAATAACTGAATATAGACATATACATACACACACACACATCATGGCCTAAGGCTGTACAACTGGCAGTAACTGTTAATAGACAACACTGTGAGACTTGCAGTGATGGTTGAGAATACCAAAGAGCGCTCATTCTCTATTCATTACAGTCTGTGTTTACCAGCGGGTAGATGTTCTCTTCAGAGGGCGGTCTTCACATGAACCCGGAGCTAAAGGCAAAGAGCAAAACAGAAATAAGCCTCTGTTTGTAGACTAAACTGAACTGCACATACCTAGAATACTACACTGACAGTTACTGATTCCTGTTCTTCAGTATGCAATGCGGTCTTAAGCAATTATTTAACAGATTCAACCCACTTATAATTTCAGATTTGCATATTTTTCACATTTGTGCTTCCAGCTTTCCTGTTTTTCGAAATTTTACTTTCTGCACACCCTGTAAACTGTGTGTTGCGTGTACACAACAGGTACACCTGGACATTTCTCAAAGGAGTTCTACACTGCTGAGGAAGACCTGTGGACAGATAGATCATAAAGACATGTAGAGAGACGGCTAATTTCCAAGTTGCAAAATTTCAGGTTTGGTCATTAAGAGTTTGCCTTCTCCAGGAAACTGGTCACTATTGGTTGTAGTCTTCAGCCCACGAGGGACACAGAGTCCTGTCACCGTGGTGCTGTTTGCTGACTTGGGAAAATCGATGTCTGTCTTCTGACTGACACAAGCTCAGCTCCAGTGTCATCATCTAGTCCAGTGCAGACCTCACACGAGGTCTCAAAAGTTTACTGATTTTTTAATGGGACTGCAGATCTCCTTGATAAGAGTTATGAAACAAATCTTCTGATTCCAGAAGAGAAAACGGCCAGGTGCCTTATAACCTCTGTCAAACTCGTCTGAGTCTCGCATTAATAACCTGGAAGTAAAACATTGGGCTATGTCCATGTTTTAACCAAAGAGAAGGCTCATCCCCAAAAAGTGACTAATATAGTAAAGAGAACTGATTCTGTTTTCCCCTGATCTGTCACACTGCACACCTTTCATGCTCCACTATTCTTATCATTTGAGCTACAGGGCGCCTGTTCCTTACGACAGCTTGCGAACTCATTTCCTATTGCTTCTGACAAGGTGTGCCTCCTGTTAACAAGACAGGCTATTACAGAACACATCCTGAGCAAGCCTCTTAAAAGTCCATCTCTGTGCAAAATACTGGGCACACCACTGGCATAACAGAGTACAAGTAAGATTATTTTCAAAGAGTATGTTACTAATTTCCTCATTTTTGTTTTTCTAAATATAAGTCACTAAAATTAATCAACTTAATTCCCAAAGTCCATAAAGAAAACTTGAACTCTAGCCATTAATTTAAAAATGGGACAGCATACCCTTAATTCGAATATCAAAAGCAGGAGCAACACCGAAAAGGGAATTATGGCAAGAGGCTTACTTTTTACGATCTTTATCCTTTTTTATGTTCACACCAGATGAAGTATTAAAAGCCTGAGCCTGCAGGAGTTCTGTGGCAGCTCTTCTCTTGCTGAAAATATTGATTTCATCCTCCAGCAGCTTTCTCTTCTCCTCCAGCTTCATCCTTTCCTCCTGATGCACCCTCTTCAAGTGTTCAAACTTTCCCTGCAACTAAGAACCAGAGAGATGTTACTGCATAGCCACAGTACACCACAAGGGGGAAGCAAGAGCATGTAGCTGAATGTGTGGCAACCCTCTATAGGGCCACACATTGTAGACTGGCTTTCCCAACCTATTAGAGAATGTCAGTTTAAGTTCTTATTAGGGAGCTAAATGCCTATGTGTTGTTTTAACACTTAATGCATGACAGCCCTGCTTCAGAGGTTAGGTGTAATAATGTTGGGTACTAGGGAATTAGCTGTATGGGACAGTGCACACCAGTCTATTAATGGCTCTGTTAAATTGCAATCTCTTTCTACAGCTCTTGGTCCGTTTGCATAATACATTAGTAGTGGGAAAACAGGAATGTTAAAGAAGCATCCAGCTCCACACTTGTTCTCACCACAATCCTTTTTATTCTTTATCGCCATGACCAAGCTCCAAAACGTACTCACCCCAGTGAAAGTCAGCAGCTGTGATTTTATTAAGCATTTAGTAACTCTCAACAATTACAGTGAAGTACTTCAACTATCATCGCATTAAGATTTAAAAGTAACTTGTGGTCCGGGGTATTTCTCATCAAACCCACGTTGAGAGTAAAAAGACGAGCGTGACAAGACTGCGGGCCGCGTGTCTTCCCATGCGTTTCAGGGGCGGCGGAGTGGGGGTACCTCTCTCTCGGCCTCCTTCAGCTCGGTCTCCTTCTCCTTCACCCGCTGCACGAACATCTGCCTCATCTCCTCCTCGCGCCGCTGCAGCTCGCTCAGGAACTCCTGCCGCTTGGCCTCGTAGGTCTGCTGCAGGCTGGGGGCAGAGCGAGAGGGCCTTCAGGACGTGCCCCCATCGAGCTCCTTCCTTTACCCTGCCGTTTTCACACTCCATCAAATAGTCATTTAACGGCTTGCCTTTTCAATCCAAAAGGTTCAAACCTATTTGCATTCCCAAATGCTCCATACAAGTCTCAGCGTTATACTTGTGGCACTATGCAAAGCAAGAAAAAAAATGCTCTATGACAGCACTGAAGATGAAATCCATTTCTATGGTCCTTAATATTTTTTAATATTCCTTACACTTATGTAGCTCTTTTCTGGACACTCCACTCAAAGTGCTTTCCAGGTAATGGGGACTCCCCTCCACCACCATGTGCAGCCATAGAAGAGATTTGACGGCAGCCATAGTGCGCCATTATACTCACCCCACATCAGCTATCAGTGGGGAGGAGGACAGAGTAATAAAGTCAGTTCATAGAGGGGGAGGCCATGAGTTTTAGAGGCCAGGGGGGAAATTTGGCCAGGACACCAGGGTAACACCCCTACTCTTTTCGAAAAACACCCTAGGATTTTTAATGACTCCAGAGAGTCAGGACCTCAGTTTTACGTCTCATCTAAAGGAGAACGCCTACACCATGAATCCTTCCCTGTGTATTAAATAAGAACATGCAGTAACACATCATTCAAAAGCTATTGTGATCCAACAAGATGCCACGTAACTGCTGCCAGACAAGTGCTTCTGCTTTAGGGGATTCAGTGTGTCCAGGAATGCAGCATTCACACACATGAACCAGCCCCTCCTGCCTGTCAGTAATAAAAGCACGTGATCACAAAGATAGACCATTTCATAGAAGGATGTGCAGCAAAGCCTCTGGCCAGGGGATAGAGACCAGCTGGTTAGATTCCAGGCTGCACTGCCTGCTGACTGAGGCTGGAGTGTTAGACTGCAGTCACTGTGCTCCTGCTTGCTGGCCTACTTCAAAAACATCTGATCATGTCAAGATCAAATGGCAAGCAAATCTGTCATGCAGCAGTTTTTAGTTGTTCAGAGTTGCAAGGTGTGGTTTAAAGAAGCTCTGATTCTGGGCTGATCTCCACCCATGATACAAATCCCTCAGGTCGTGCTTCAGTCACTCCAGCCTGGCTCCACTGCCCCCGCCTCAGGCACCAACCAGCAATACTGCGTTAACCAAGCGATTAAGTACAAACACTAAGTGGAAGTGAATCAAGTAGCAGGAATGCAGGTAGCCATAATAGTGCACCCTGCTATCACAACCCACACATAAAAAGCACATTTGGGATAAGCTGTACCCAGAAGGGAGATCCTGCGTCATTTTTGGCGTCGCACATCAATTCTCCACAGCTCGGTAATCCCAATTACGCAACAAACCGCACGCTATCTGCCCTGCTTTAAAACCAATCGCGTCAGCTTCCAAATTCATGTGCAGACAAAGCCTTTCATTGCCCAAGTGTTAACGCATACATTTGAAAGAGACCAGCCCTGATAATATCATATGGCCTCACTGTAAACGCTGGGCAAAACAATGACCTTGCAGGAAGATCCAATGCCAAATCTTACTGAGCCTCAATGGGTCAGACCTTGGGAGTCTGACTACCTCTTTAGTCAGAAGCCCCACCCCCAAAACTACCCCAGCAAAGGCTTTCCAATAGAACACGTCTACAAATAGGCAGGGGTGCTTCAAGACTCCAAAACCTTCAAATCGAAGTGTCGATACAGAAAGAGGATTTCACAGTTCACTTAATATTGCACTCAGAAATGACACCCTAGACTTTCTCGAGAAACAGTGAAAATGAAAAGTGCGAGCACTGGGAAGTGGCTAACACTATGCTTTTTTTAAAACCAGTCCCAGATACGTAATCTTATTGTGCGCATGTCCAGGAATCAACCCCATCCCCCCCAAAAACAAATTTTATAAACCAAACGCTTTCACTCGAATCTAAGACCGAATTTTCAATTCCAATGCACAACGACGTATTTCTATTTAACAACTATCGCTTTTAACTTTGAAAAACAAAATGTCAGTCTGCTATCAAAGCGGCGCTCTGTACAAGATAAAAGCTGGCAATCTGGTGACTGGTGGAGTTGTTTTTAAAGGAGTTGAAGAATGTCAGGAATGTTCTGCCACATGGGGTTAAGTAAACATTTCCCAGAGTTTTTAAGGAGGCTTAAAAAGAGAGGATATAAAACCAAGAACAAAGTAACAGTATAACAGAGCTGAGGTATGAGGACTGCAAAAAGCTTAGAGGGATAAGAGCTGTTTAATATATTTTGTTAAGGTATTTGGTTTGGGATCTACATTGCATGCTTTTCTTTTTCTCAAATGCTAATAATTAAAAGTACTTCTTCAATGACATATTTTGATGTTTTAACTGGGTATCAATCCCAGCAGAAATTCACTTTTTGACATGAATGTTTTAAAGAAAACATGCAGAGTCAAATTTTGGGACTCCTCTTCAGAAAAACAGCCTACAACCTGACAGCTGGTTTCCCTGTAGGGTTGGAAATACAAGCATTCATACGAATGAGCACAGCACATGTTCTGCGCTTGCATTACTGGAAGTCAATATCAAATGCATTTTAGGATAGTCACTTTTATGAACCATCCTGAAGATAATTACACTACATATCTCCATCCATCCATTTTCTAACAGCTCCTTACAATTCAGGGTTGCAGGGGAGCTACAGCCTACCCCAGCAAGCAACGGGTACAAGACGGGGTTAAACACCAGACAGGACGCCAGTTCAGAGACATAAACGTGCACACAGTCACAGGAAGGGCCGATATTTCCAGAAGCCAATTAACCTAACAGTATGTCTGGACTGTGTGAAATCCATGTGAACATGGGGAGAACATACAGACTCCACACAGACAGTACCCCAAGTCTGGAATCAAGCCCAGGGCCCCAGCGTTGCGTGGAAGCAATGGATACACTACGCCCTTACATTCCAATCTTCTTTGGCTACCTTCTGTAAGAAGTACCTGGACCACACAAGCCCAAGTCCACGCTGCCCAGAGGAAAGCCCACCTGACTGGCTTGCTCTCGGGGTCGGTGTCCTTGAAGCCCATCTCCTCCAGCTTGCAGCGGCGGTACAGCTCGTAGTGGCGCGTGTGGGTCTGCTCCCGCAGGTCCTCCATGTTCACGCAGATCAGCATCTCCCTCAGCTTCACGAAGTCGCAGTGGTTCTCGTTCTCCACTGGCGCAACAAGGGCACACACACAGGGCTCGATTCACATCGCGCACACCCCGTGCCAGAAAAGCCGTCGGCACTTTCCGAGTTCAACCGGTGGTGGTGTTCAGAACGTGAGCTTTAAAGCCGATATCACAGCTGCGATGCACTAACACATGTGGAAGAACTGAGCATTTGAAAACTATTTTTCATAAGACAAGACAAGTCTCTCCTATTAAGACGTAGTTAAGCGAGATTTGAGGCAGCTTTAAATTTTAGGATTTGTCGACTGACACATGCGTACTCACAAAATAAATGGCTAAATCAATTGTTGCCACTTCAGTCTTCAGTCAGACTGAGAAAGCATTCACCAGCCTTCAAAAGTGGCTTGAACAATACAACCACCTTAAAAGGTGTGATTTGTTATCAAAATATTCAAATCAAACCCTGAAAAGCCTACTTATATTCCCCAGGATGCACAATATCTACTGTAACAAGCAGCTAGGAACTAGCATCCTCTTCTGTGGCTGAAATGTTTCTAATTCATGAGGAAACAGGAGACTAGTATAACATCCATATGGAAGCAGGACGACTTTGCATAAAACGTCACAATCAGCAATACAAATACATTACCTTGTACAACACCCCAAGGGTACTGTCGTGCTTTGACCATCTTGTTACCAATCTTCACTTCCTCCGTACTGCCAACAACAGCAAACGGGAGGTGACCCTGAAGGAAGAAAACAGCCTCAACTTAGACTGAAATCACAGAACGTTGAACAATTCCGCATGGTGGCCGCCATTACAAGCAGCGGATTGCACTGTTCCGGGGAAGTTGAGATGCAGAAGCAGAAAGGATTCTTGTCCTAAAACTGATTTTTGCCATAGTTTTATCGTCATTTTGTAGTCTATGGAGATTGACGGTAATAAATCGAATCCTTCTACTCCCCCGGCTCGATGTTCATGCAAAGCAAACCTAGGGCAGAGTGCATGAGGCACACACACTCACGTTCATGGCTGTATTGATCTTGGCCACGCTCTCGTCATCAATGGGAAACTGGTATATCTGGACTCCATTGCTGACAAGTTCACTCATGATCTTGATCTTGAATTTGTGCAGTTCGCTCTTGGAGATCGTATCTGCTTTGGCAATAACTGGAATAATGTTGACCTAGAAAACACAATGTGGTGAAGGGATTTTAGGCACGCATGCAGACATAGGTGTTTGCAAGAAATGAAGATTTAAATACCCCAACCAATAAAAACCATTTAACCTAAACCATTTAATGCTTGTTAAAGTCACAATTCAAGACATGATAAGTTTACATTGTAAGTATTCAGACCACTTCACTCCTTATAATTAAATTAAGTTTTAAGTTAAATAAATTAACTTTTAGGATCTAGCATATTCATTTCTCATCTAACTTGCACAGTATTGAGCATTAGGGCAGAGCGTGGCTCTGTGGCTAAGGATCTGCACCTGCGGCTGGAAGGTTGCCGGTTCAAATCCTGCGGCTGGCAGAGGAATCCTACTCCGTTGGGCCCCTGAGCAAGGCCCTTAATCCCAGCTGCTCCAGGGGCGCCGTATAAATGGCTGACTCTGCGCTCTGACCCCAAGCTGCTCTCTTTGCCTGTGTGTCTCATGGAGAGCAAGCTGGTGTATGCGAGAACTTTGTAATGCAGAAATTGTGTATGGCCAATAAAGTGATCTTAATCTTAACGAAGCCAGATGCTTCTTGCACTACACAGACTGGCATCAGCCCGCCTGTCTGGATCAGCACAGCGTGCATCTTGACGAGGAGGAGAAAAGTGTAAAGCAGGAGAGAACGGGCCGCTGGAACAGGCAGGATTGGGAACAAAGAAGTCACTTCCAGTTGCTTCGAGATGCTTCCCATGTTTACAAAGCAGCGTCCCACCCAAACCGCTGACATTCAACCAGCTTCAGGGTGGAGCAAGACAGGCTTTCTGTGCAGCCTGACCACAGACAAAAATGTCCAGCCCAGATGAATCTGGTTTCTGGACTGGTTCTTATTTTAGTTTCGTAGCTCCTACGGTTTGTGTCGAGTGACACTACTGGTCTGTGGACCAGGAGGCTCCTGTCATGCAAAAACAGACACTCCTTTTATACAAAGAACATCTGCAGAGCCCTGCAAAAGTATTCACTCCCTTCCAATGATGTCCCATTTTGTTGAATCAAAGCGATGTTTCTTTGCTGGTGTTTAAGTCAGACCATAATTATGCGAGACTCCAGGATGTACCCATGAAGGTCTTTAGATCATACTGTTTTATCTCTTCTTGAAAAAGACACACCTGCCAAGTGATGAGCTACTCTGAGATTTTCAAAGACTTAAGTATTTATAATATTCCTCTAGTAAAAAGTTACAAAAATCCATAAATACAGGACATACAGTACATACATACTGCAACTAATGGATCCCTCTATATTATTCATTCAAGCCACCAGACAACATTTGTTTCTGTCTGTGGACATTTATCCTACAGTATATGATATCATATAAAAGTAATTTTAAAATGCATACACTTTGTAATGAGAGAGGAGCTACAAAGTCAGAGCAAGCTTGCAAAGTAGTGCTTCAACCAAAAAAATCTAATGAATTAAAACTGAATAATGCTTTTCTCACTGCTATAATCCACTTTCCGATTTCAACCAGAAACCAAGCAGAAGTAAAACACAAAACGCTGGTTGAATTTAATTAAGGCCAGCCTGTCTGTGAAACCTAACTGCAGTTGAAGCCAGACAAGAGACTACAAGTTGGCTCAAGTCTTAAGGTTATGGGAGATGAAAGCCTGTTTGATCTCGTCAGTGGGATGGGATTTCAAGGGAAACCAAGCAATTAAGACTGGAAATCACCAAATGTTGTAAATTAGCATAATCCTGCTTTGCTGCTTTAATTCGTTTTTCACTTTTTTCCCCTATTACTCTGAAAAAAGCATACGGTATATGCCCATCCAAATGCAATCTGTTTCCTTTTCATTTTCTCTGATGTACTTCCCAGTAATAGAGGGCATGTTCATATAGGATTCTTCCAATGAAATGAAGAACAAAAACACCCTATTCAGAGGCTAGGCATGAGCAAGGCATTTCTTTACCAGTTAGGCCAATTCCATTTCTTCACACTTGCTGTTTTTACAGTAAGAGCTGCACAAGTCTTACGCTTGAATAGCCGATGATGTTTCAGAATATACCCAGATATTTAGTGTGGCAGAAGGGTTATTTATGTAATGAAGACATGCTTCCATCACACATTTTATCATGTCAATCACCCATTTAACTTCCTGTCACAGTTTGCTCACTATTCTGAAACAACTGCTTTCCCTTTTCCTTCACACCAACGACAGTCCAAATAAGTACATCACGCTTCTCTCTCTACCTTGGACATTTTATTCTGACTGGGTGCTGACAGTATGTGCGGAACCCAAGACCCCATTGAGATTAGTGGCCAACTCAAACCGAGTAACGGCACCTTTTGTCAGTCAAACCTTAACAGAGCCCGTGAGAAACCCAGAGACACACAGTGTCAGTGGAAAAGGTTATTTGCCTTATACTATACATGGAGGCATCTGGCACAGAAATGCCAATAAAAAGAGCTTGTAGCAGCTTGTCTGATGAACAAAGAGTTATGTAACGTATGTTTAGAAATGTTTAGTATCTGTGATTTATGACTGCGTTCTACAATTTGGACACTCATAGATCTGATCATTTCAGTGTCTGAAATTTCAAAATCTGTGATCTTAAGCAAAATACAAATATAAATGTCATATTAAATTATAACTTTCTATAAATACTGATGAAGAGTCTGGTCAGAATATTGTTATTGATAAATTACAGAAAGTTAAGTGAACAGTAATTCACAGGTGAGTGGTAGAGATATAAATGGATTATAGAACATTTAAATCTGTGACTTCACCTTCCAAGATCACTCATTGCTTCAGAGTTTCCCCATGTGCCAATTTTGCAAATCATAAAAAAACAGTATATAACCATTGCTAAAGTTTCTTAACATGAAACAGATCTACAACTGCCACAGTTATTTGTACTTTCATCACTAACTTACTTTCCAAACTTAAACTGCTTAAATGTGCACAAAACAAGACTGCAGAAGACAAGTATTTGAGTCCCAATGGTCCAGAGATTATCTCAGATATCAAAGCATTTAGGGAACAGAGAGCACGACTACCCCTCTGGATGGGACGCCAGTCAGTAGTCCCCATTCTAGCAGCTGGCAGGACTGGAGCAACTAGAGTAAAGCACCACACTCGAGGTACAACAGCAAGGACTCAAACCCACAACCCACCCTTCATGAGTTCAGAGACTTCCCCACCACACTGTGCCCCAATACATCGGCGCCTGCATATAACTAAAGGCCATTGCTTCAAGAGCCTTGCTATGCTTGTCCCTCATACCTTGCTGTCCAGTTTCTTCATGGTGACCAGGTCCAGGGATTTGAGGGAGTGCCCTGAGGGGGCGATGAAGTACAGGCAGGCGTGGATTCGAGAGTCGTGGTAGTTGTGCAGGGAGCGCTTGATTTTCAGCTCCTCCTGCAGGTATGACTCAAACTGGGTGTCAATGTAGTCCACCACGTGCTGGTAGCTGGGTGAGCAGAAAAGGAAAGCCCGTCAATGAAAGAAACGCGTCGCCATCGTCGACAAGTCAGCAGCAAAAAAACATGCAGAAGAAGATAAACACATACAAATGGTTAAAGGGCGTTATGGATCCTTAAAGACAGCAGGTCAATACTTGAACACAGTCATTAAGGAAAACACTACCAGGTCCAATATTCTGATGGAGCTATGAAAGATGTAACCATCTCAGACACATTCTTTGCAGATTTCAATCTGCTGTTCTTAATGTTTTTCTAGAAAGTCAAGAAAATTATTTTCAATTTCCATGCTAGGAAATAAAAAATCATGGTGATTAGTACAGAAAATTTTGATAACCCTGAAATGTGTGTTATAAGTACTGACTGTAATGACATTGCAAGCTAATATAAACAACGTTTTTACATATTAAAATGGAAACTTTCTAAAAAAAAAGGGTACTTTTGTGATTAAAACAGGTGTGGAATTTAAAGGAAAAGGAGGGCTTAGTGATCCATCCCATTCAACTGACTACAGAACAGAGACCATCTCACTGTTTTATCACACACAGCATGTGGCAAGAGAGAATTTGAAAATTAGTCCACCGTTTTCTAACCGTGTTATCCAATTCAGGGTTACAGGGAAGCCAGTGCATTTCATAGCAAACATTAAGCGCAAGGCATGGTACACACTGGATGGGATACCAGACAATCACAGGGTACACACAAACACAAACGCACTCACACCAGGGCCAGTTTTCCCAGAAGCCAACTGGCATGCCAGTATGACTGTGGGAGAAAACCGGAAAACCTGGAGGATACCCATGTGAACACCAAGAGAACATACAGACTCCACACAGATAGCACTCAGGGAATTGAACCCATGCTCCAGCGCCATGCCACCCCCTTTTTCCCCATGCAGCTTAGTGGAACTGAAACAGCTCTTACCTTTCCTGTTTGTTCATTTGATCTCCAAATCCCACAGTGTTGACGATGGTGAGCTTCAGCCGCACATTGCTCTCCTGCAGGTCGTAGGTCTGCGCACGCAGCCTGACCTTGGGCTCAAAGTGGGAAGACTCGAAGTTCTCGAAGTTTGTGCTGAACAGCGTGTCCATGAGGGTGGACTTCCCGATGCCCGTTTCCCCTGGACGCAAAATTAAAAGAACAAAAAAAGACAGGCCTATAGTGAGAAGTTCGCCAACGCTCTCCTCACACACACGCAGTATGCACAGCCCTGTCGGCAGTAAGAGTGCAACTTCAATCTCCAGCTCGTTAGCAGGTGAGAGCCTGGAAAATGTTCCAATTAAGCAATTTGTTAAGCAGCCACTTGCACAGAAAACCAGCCAGTAGAGTCTGGGGGACTTGAGAATCCAAAAGAACGAAGGCCTGATCCTGATTTAGGCTGACCAGAACAACATCCTGCAGAGCTCCCCAGGTGTGGTATTCAAATCTTCAGCATGCAAATACCACATCAGGAAGAGGACTAAATAAGCTCAAGACTTAGCTGGACCAACTTAAACTCTCTACACAAGTCTGACACTGCACTTCATTTAAGGGGACTCACAGCCCCGCTGGCCTGCGGGACAGGACCGCAGTGTCCAGACTCACAGCCCCGCTGGCCTGCGGGACAGGACCGGGGGAGGCCGGACTCACTGCCCCACTGGAGTGCGGGACAGGACCACAGTGTCCAGACTCACAGCCCCGCTGGACTGCGGGACAGGACTGGAGTGTCAGAACGCACAGCCCCGCTGGCCTGCGGGACAGGACCACAGTGTCCAGACTCACAGTCCTGCTGGACTGCGGGACAGGACTGGAGTGTCAGAACGCACAGCCCCGCTGGACTGCGGGACAGGACCGGGGGAGTCCGGACTCACAGCTCTGCTAGACTGTAACAGACCAGCATTTTTTTTTAATCAGCAATAGTAGTAGGGCTAGATCCACCCGTTTGCCAAAACATCAAATGTACCACCAAAAGCAGCCCTCACCGATACACAGAATATTGAAACAGAAGCCCCGGTTGGTGGATTTGTTGACCAGTTGATCTGGCAGACTGTCGAAGCCAACATGACCGGACAAGGAGAGAGGGCGTGCATTTTTGTCCTGGAGGGAAGAAATAAAAAAACAAAATCGCTTTTTTGTTTCCCCATTACATTTAGCAAAACACACATTGTTCAGCCAGAGCTAATGATTATCTGAACAGATTTCACCATTGCAACATTACTAAACCCTAATAAGCAAAGAATAAACCTTCCAAATATCTCCCATTTATATAATACATGTGACCATTCGCGTCATTCTTAATCCTATTCTGAAAGAAATCGAACTGCTAATATGGGTCATGTGAATAAGGGGTCTTAAATCAGCATATATCTTTTCAAAAGCTTACCTAAAACTTAAATAACAATACTGCTGAAATGTTAAGCAGCCATACTTGATATAGCTACAGCTATACCACTCAAAATTACCTCCATTAAATCTTAACAGGACTACAAGTATATAAACTACCACACAGACTCTAAAATTGTTTTAACTTTGTTATCTTAATACCATATTTTAATATGTCTATTAATAAAATAATTATGTGTATTTCATTAACAAGACAAACAGTGGGCACTATTTTCACGGTCAATGCTATTACAACTTAAAGGATACTGAGCACAAGGAGTGTTTTGGATAAAGTTTTCTCAAGTCTAAGGCCTGTTCTGGGTGCTTCCTGCCTTGTCCAAAGAAATCATACCAATTTTTGACCTAACCCTCCCTGCACTGGCCTACTGGGTGGTCTCGATCTCTGGAGATACTGACATGTCTGAAAATGGAGGAAAAGAACAAGCGCTCGTTACACCTCTCACTACTACTCACAACACAAAGCTAATTAAGATACTGAACGTTTCCTTTTTAAAAGGAGAGTAAACTAGTGTTTGAAGGGTTTTCCCCCATTAAAGAATATTGTTCTAATTCAGAATAGTCTGCAGATCTAATAACATCTAAATGGGTCCTAACAGAAGCCCGATACAGTATCTCTCAGTTTCAGTCATTACATTAATTACTGTATACTGTACATCAGATTTAAATATCCAGGACTCTTAATATGTGGCAGACCTTCAATAAGTATTGAACACTGTGCTAGAACTATATAAATGATTTTGACTTTAATGGTCGCATAAAAACTGATAAATGGGCAACATGCAACCTACTTTGTTACTCCCGATTTGATCGTTTTCAAATCCTGTAAAAACACTAAACCCTTTGGGACAGATTAACATCTATTTGGGGTTTGTTACTTCAAGCTGAAAAATACTACTAGACATTTGTAAATATTACTATAACCAGGTGTTTTCATTCAAAAATAAAACTGAGCTTTGAAAGGCTAATTCTAACATTTTACGCTGGTGGTTACTCCTTAAAAAGAAAAACTAGCATGCTTCAAAAGATGTCAATGGCACGAACACGCACTTAGCCAGAATACCATCTTGTATCTCTTCACCTTTATTTTACAACACACAGCACAGAAATATTTGTAAGAACTCGTAAACACGGCGTCCCACTCAACGCCCTTTTGTGTTTTTTTTTTTAGCTATTCTGTCTGGACAGATGTTACGACGGCTCAGTGGCACCGAGACTGTGTTACACAAACAGGTTTATTTCCAGTTCAACGACCCGTTTTAAAATGCGCAACTTTCTTTTCAGCCGTTTTAAACCTTTTTTTAAACAAACCAAAACCAAATAACATTTCCGCTCAGTAAATAACTCCCCTCAAAGGAGTTAAAATTTGCAGAGCTAGACAAAGCACACTTTTGTTTCTCCTGCCGCTACAACAGCGCCAGCGTTTGCAAGATCACGGGCTGTTGCATCGCTCATGTAACATCATGAATTGATGTAACAACCACTGCTTGGAAAATTATTGTTTTCAGCACACGTTTGAAATCATCTGCCTCTTTTGGACGCTTCTGAATCAGTTTCTGCGGTCTTTCCCGGCAGACGGGCAGCCCGATTCTGAATGCCCCACCCTGTTAGTCCCCGTCCTTTCCATTGGCGGAGATGGGGTGTCTCCTGCCTGTGCCCCCTTATTGATTTCGTAGGACAAGGGGGTTTCCTCCAGCCATCGACCTCCGCCTGCGGTGTGGGTTTAGCTACCTGTCCTTTTGTTAAGCAAAACTGACTGATCCGTCACCCGTCCCATTTGGTTCCGCGTTAAACTTTATGAACGAATAATAGAGCGCTAGCTAAGTAACGACGTAAAAACGGTGTGTCAGCTTTTTTTCATGCGCACGAAAAGCTGTATATTTCACTTTTAATCACGTTTAAAATGCTAAAACATTAAGAAATGGATCAATAGAACTGAATATTCATTTTGATTCTTAATGTAAACTTAAATTATTATATCCATGGAATTCTACTTTTTTTTTCCCTCCGGTACAATAAGTGAAAATGCCCGTGTGTCGTCGCCCTTCATCGTCTTCTTTTTCCAGATTCGTTTCAACACGGTTTACCCCTCCGTAAAGCTTGGCGACAGACGAAGTGACACTCCCAAAATTTAGATTTCTCTCAGAGAAGCCAGAGACGTGCTATCGGGCAACACTCAAGTTTTCTTTCAAACGTTTCACGCTAGCATGCAACTCTCCACACAGATACAACAGATCACGTACCAGCTGCCGGGCTACATCAGACGAGGCCATTGTTTAGAACGGAAAAATTATTATTGCGATGTTAATTACAAAAAAACAAAAAGTGGGTGAAGAAACTGGCCCAACCCTCTACAAAAGCTTCCAGCTGAATAATCTGGCAGGGTCAGTCAGTCACGGCTGGAATGCGAACATTTTACACGGCTTGAAAAGACCCGCCAGGGGTGGGCAGACGTCAAAAATGAAAACTAACTATTGGCATTCAGTAGTCACTGTATCCCTGAATGAAACTGACAGGACTTTATTCGTATTTGTGACTCACATAAGTGATTAAAACATATTATCCACAAAGTATTTTGCTTTACAATGCCATGCGCTGAGTTTTGACATCTCCCCACAGCAAACGAAGGAATGGTACATACCAATTTCTGAAGGCTGACCCGTTCCAGTTGCTATAGATTTACAGTGTGGTCAATTGTGAAAATGACGCCATTGTGGCTCCACGGCAGTACCAGAGGCTGCGCTATTCTGTACGCTACTGACAGAGCCAGAATGGAAACCAAAGGGATGTAGTTTCACGACCCCCAGCGAATTTCTGCACGCCCTGGTTGCTAGGAGGCGGGGATGGTTGATTTGCAGGACAGCGCCTGCTTTGACAGTCTGGCACAAGGCAACCGTGTATTTAAAGGTGGTGAAGGATTACAATCGGGTTATATTAGGTCTCTGTTATCACCTTAGCTAGACCGTTTAAATTCACATTTCGCAACTGGGGAGAAAAGATAGCCTTGTTTTGCTTTGCCTAAATCCAAATGGCGACTGAATGCACTCAGGACTCGGTTTTGCGATTTCTGTCTGAGAGGGGGGGTAAAGTGAGCAACGCGGAGTTGATCGACCACTTCAAGCCGTTTCTATCCGGCGGCCCCCCCGAGAAAGCGGCGGCCAGGGACATGTTCAAGGGGTTCGTGGACAACGTGGGCTTCGTCAAGCAGGAAAACGGAGCCAAGTACGTGGTGCTGAGAAAGAAGTACCGGGACTCGGTGCAACGGCGCGCCGGGGAGGTGGAGGACAGGGTCCCGGGACAGGGCGATCGAGAGCCCCGCCGGGATGGCCCGGTCGGAGCCCGGCGATCGTGTGAGATGCATGCCGATACCTGCTCGGCTCCCGACGCTGAGCCCCGTTTGAAACCCGCCGCGGATGTAAATCAAAGCGCCTCACCTGGCTCAGGTTACAGAGCTGTCAATCGGGACGCCGGGGGAGGACGGGCGGCGAGGAATCGGGAAGCTGATAATAACTCAACTTCGGCTGCGTTTGGGCAGGCTGCTGCTCCCGCCGTGTCTCCCACCGGCCCATCCGTCCCCAAACTCGTCGTTTCGGAGGAGAGAGAAATGGGCAACGCTGAGACCGCCCGCGCTGGAAAGGACGGGACTAGCGGTCGTTATCCCAGTAAGAAAAACAAGGGAAAAGCTCCAGATATGCGGATACCGCACATCGCCGTGACCGGGCCGTCTCCTTTGCCCGCGGCTGACGAAGAGACGGTTTTCAGCCTGCCGGTGCCTGAAATCTCAGGAGCGCAAAACGCCCAGTCTTTCGGACAAGGTAACGCGTCTTCCAGCTGGCCAGCGCGCAGACACTCAACCGGGGGCGGGCGTGGGAGTTTGACAGAAGTCGATCAAGTAAAGGACTTGGCCCCCCGCGCTCACCAGGAGGCGGCGAAGGACGGAAAAGCCTGCCCGAATGGGGGCGAGGGGCACGTTGACCCCGGGGCCGGCCAAGAGCTGCCCTCCACACAGGCGACAAGTCGTCGGCGGGCCTCTCGGGGCTCGCAGCGCGGCTTGCTGTCTAGTCATCCCTCAGACGACGGGGCGGATGAAGGTCAGCCGTGCGACACCATCAGCGCGTCGGGCAGCGACTGCAACACCCCGAAGAGCAGCAGGAAAAACTTCATCGAGCTCATGATGAGCAGCTCGCCGCAGCTCCGGCGCAGCATGGTTCACAAGAACCCCGGGTCCCTGCTGGCCCGGCACCGGGACTCCGTGAGAAGCGACAGCGACTCGGCCTCCCTGGTGTCCTCCGTGGACGAAGACAGTGGCTCGGTGTCCCTGGATCCCCTGGAGCACGAGTGGATGATGTGCGCCTCCGATGGGCAGTGGGAGAGCCTCCACCGCCTGCTCGCCTGCGACCCCAACCTCGTCGCCAAGAAAGACTTCGTCACGGGTTTCACCTGCCTGCACTGGGCTGCCAAACAGGGCAAGCAGGAGCTGATGGCGCTGCTGGTTAACTTTGCCAAGCAGCACGCTGTGCCCCTGAACATCAACTGCCGCTCCAGCGCCGGCTACACGCCCCTACACCTGGCCGCCATGCACGACCACGTAGAGGTGGTGAAGTTACTCGTGGGCGCCTACGACGCGGACGTGGAAGCCAGGGACTACAGCGGGAAAAAGCCGTGGCAGTACCTGGGCGGGGGTGTGGACGAAGACATAAAGGAGATCGTGGGGGCGAGCGGGGACTCGGACGCCGAAAACGCCGACATCGGAGCCGGACGCTGGAGGCTGTCCAAGGTCCTCCCTTCCAACCTGATGCCGCTCAAGCTGCTCAACCTCCCAGAAGAAGACGTGTGTGACGTCGGAGGGCCAGGAAAGGCCAAGTCGGTGCACAGGAAAACGTCGATGAGCAGGATTAAACCCAGGCTACACAAAATCCGATTTAAAACGCAAATTATTCACAGCACCTCTTTGAGAGAGACGGAAGAAGGAGAGCTGGCTCTGAAAAGCCCCGGAAAGTCTAGACCCAAGTCGACTCTGTTTGGGTGAAGCTGATGCGGTTGTTTTGAGAGTTGAATGGCACTGCCGCTGCAATAATGTATTGTGGAGAAGATGAATGTACTAATTCCATTACCAGGCTACTGGAGTGGAACCAGAGATTGAGGCAATCGCGTTTTCAGCAGTATTTACATGGTTACACGATGGGATAAGTACTTACACATTTATTTTTCACTGCCTGCTTAAACTTGGAAATACATTCTCAAGTTGGCAGTGAACAGATAATGGTGTATTGGAGAGAATACATTGTGCATTGCAGAATGTTTTCCGTACACAAGGCAATTAGTCTAAAATTGTAATTTGCTAGAAGTGTCTTGTGTATTCCCTGTGCTTCAGGAACACAAGAGCACACTATAAGGTAGAGAACATGCAATTAGGGTAAGGTTAACTATTGTGTTTTGTACATATTAGGATTACACATTTCAGTTTGGGAACAACAGCTGGTGTCTAGGTTTTATTTATGTTGCCAAGTTTCATGTAGGCTTAGGGGTATGGTTGATCATCTTCTCATACTGAAGAGCCTGCCATCGGTTTTGCTGATGATTGAAAGATTTCAAAATGAGCCCTTTTGTGTTACTTTACAGCACCCTTTTAGTTTTCGTTGTGGTTTTTGCACATGACACAATGAAGTTGAAAAGTTGTTAATTGTGAAAATTTCACAACTCCCAAATGAGTGATCATTTGTGTTCTTGCTTGTTCAATATTCCGGTACAAATATGTTAAAAAGATGACATTATAGAGGGGGCCCTTTTGTGCACCAGTGGTTTGATAGATTCTCTGATACTGTAGCTTAGTGCAGGCATGTGATAAGATATAGAAGAATAAAGTAATATACAGCGACATGAAGATGCATTTGATGTGGGGAAAAATACTGCCGAGCAAAATTTCTTTTCAAACTCCCCCCCCCCCACTTGTTTAGAATAAGGAAATGCTGAAAACCAGAAATAGTGGTTCCTTTTTGGTTAGAATGAGAATTTGCTTACTTTTATGTACTTGCCTGATTTAGTATGACTGGTAAGCCATGCGCTGTTACAAAAGGTGAGTTTGAAATGACCCTGTAAAAGCTCCAGTCTATTGCCTGTTCCTAGTCCTTTCACTTGTGCTGCCTGTGTTTGCCCCTGTAATCTAAATTGTGTTCTGAGGCTGCTGCACTGATGTACACAGTACAGGGTGGAACATTAGATCTTGCCCATCAATCTTTGGGTGGAGAAAGGAAAAACAGTGAGCACTTAATAATTAGCAGTGCTAATTCCCAATGTCTCTACTAGATCTTTGTACTTTATGATCTCTGCAAAATGGGGTATTTACTGTTTAGTCATAAAGTACACGCTCATGTTATGATATTGACAAAACAGGCACCTGTTTTAAAGTAAGCCTACGTCTTTGGGGGATGTTTGTGTTCCTGTTCTATGTTTCATAGTTTCTGCTTTTTCGTGTGAGCTGCTGATTTATTATTTTCAAGCTTACTATCTTAAAAAATGAATGTTCCCTTCCCTTCTCTACTGCCAGCAGTAAACATAGAAGCTGCTATTACCTTAAGGTACGTTAGTGCTTAAAAAGCATTTAATCAAAATAAAGGCCCTGTTTTAAGGTGCTGCAAAGATGCTGCTACATTGCAACTGCAAAAGGTCAAGTCTGAATTTTTGTAGATTGTTTTTTTGGAGCTGGAAAACGACTGAAAGGATAACTCACTGTCACTGAGCCGCCTTACTTTTTATGCACGGTATAGTTCAACAAGTTCAACTCTACAAAGTCAGGCTGATTGGTAGAGGTGAATTGATAAGTTGTTAATTAATGTAACACTTTGTGTGAAGCAGAGAATCCAGACTGAACTCCGTTTTAATACCAGCTTCAATGGGTTTCAAATTTTACAGCCCATCTACAAAGAATTGTATTACCCTTACATAATATATTTTTAAGTTTTTATAGGAAATATTTTGTAATAGGTGGCGATTTTATAAAATAAAATAGATAAAACCAGCAAGGGACACATTATAATCTTTCAGGTTTTTGACACTGTGCCATTTTGCAATCATAAAATGTGGCCACTGTCTGTTCTTTCAGTTTGGTTTCAGTAAATGGTGTATTATAAACATCTCTAAACATCTACAATGAACGCATAAGACATTTAGTGTTTCCTCATTGCTTTCTAAACATGCTCCTCGTTTTTGTAAATGATATTTGTATTTATGTGATGGGGAAAAAAGTCATCTTTGCTTCAATAAAAATGTTTTGTCATTCCTGAATGTGCAAACAAGCCGTCTATTCCAAGCAGGATAAAATGTGACTTTAGTATGTGCAGACCTCTGTTAATATTCTGTTTCGTCTTAAAATTATTTTTGAAAAGGATGAACAATCATCATACTGTGCAACTAAAAGTAATTCAATAAGGTATTTTAAGTATGGTCTTGGTTTATGCAATGGGTATATATTTTTTTTTCCTGTCAACTAGTGAGTTAAATAAGTTTTTTAACAAAGATGTGCAGGTTAATGGCTTAAGTAGGTTTTCTAGATCATGTTTAACCTGCAGATTGATGAGGACAAATTAATTCAGCACTATACCACCATTCTGGGAAAACATAGATGTTTAATGGAATGTATTAGTACTGCTCCTGTATTGGTTTCTGCTATAAGCTTTTCATACAATTGTATTGCTTCATATTTTGTTTTTTGTTTTTTTTTGCTCTGTGAAAATCAGGTGGCAATAGATTGATTCTTTATTTGATCTACACATGTTTAATTACACATTTTGTCTCATGTATTCCCACAAGTTGGAGTATATGTTTGGTAATATGTATATAATGTAGACAGCAGTTTATTTTGAATTTTAATACAAGTAAGGTTTACTGCCTCTACTATGTGCATGGAAAGCATCCTCCAGAAAATACTTAATCTACTATCAAGCCACTTTTCATTGGATTGCTGATTGCTGAAATGATTCTTTGCAAAGTATTACTTCAAGGGTTTCTTGCTAGGAACAAAATAATTGTCTGTCCTTGTTTGTTTTGTTAGCTCATCAGCTTTTGTTTCTAATATTGGATATGATGTAAACTGTAGTTTCTTTCCACTTTGTTTTTTAGTCTGCACTTTAAACTGTTGTCCTGGACTAACAGAGCTAGAGTTAATAAGTATGTATTTTTGACCTTTGTATATTTATAGTACTTTAAAT